ATGGGAACAATCTCATCTCGGTGTAAGTCAAGACCCGGAAGACCCAGTTTAAAACTTCTGAGGGGCTGGGGGGTATAGCTCAGCAGTAAGGCACATGCTTAGCAAGCATGAGGTCCTGGATTCCACACCGAGCACCACCACCACCAACAAAAATTAAAGAAAGCTTCTGAGACCCCTCTAAACTGTTTCAATTTTCAGTGCAGGGAGCATATATCAGTCAGACACTAGCAAAACTGTGTGACAGGGAAAGTTGACCTTAATTAATCCCAGGGCAGCTGCCGCCCTCTCTGAGGGGAGGCAGTTGAACCCATGAAGAGCTTCCGGATAATATGTTAATGATATGAAAACTACAAATTATACATAACCATCCAGCCAGCACACAGTAGCAGGAAGGGTGCTGCTTCACAGAGCCCTCAGTCAGCAGAGACCTTCCAGGTAAGCATCCCAGTCCCACTGGCTGTTCCTGGCCAGCGCAGGTGCTCTGTTACCATTCTGAGAATCCTCTTTGGCATGTTCTCGGGTTTGTCTAATTGTCCTTCAGGAGCACTACTGGGAGAAAAGAGGAGACTGGCGCATTTGCCGAGCTGTAATATATGAACTCTTTTCATAGCACCAAACCACCTAAGCATCAAATCACAGCACCAGCAGCACAGTGCCTCCGGGCACAGCTGCCTGAAGTGGCGCCCACAAAGTGAAATTTTGTTGCTAACAGGTACCAGGCAGCTTGGCACTGAGGGCCAGTTGAGCTGGCCTCTAGATCCAGCTGGGCGGCCTTGGGCAAATCACTGTTGTGGGAAAACTTCCCCTAAAACAACTTCTGGTTTCAGATCGTCCACCATCCCATCTGGCGAGGATGCTTCCTCCACCATGAGAAGGGGTTGACCTGGCAAACTGACTGCCTACCATAGTAAGGAGGGTCTTTCAGTCGGGTTCCCAGAGCTATTCTTCATTCCTTTCTCTCCCACACAACATGAAACTCATTAGCTCCACCTTTAAATTTTGCCCCAAATGCAAGCACTTCCCACTTTTCATAACCCTCCATCCTGTCCAAACTCTGTCACCTCCCACAGGATGCTTCCAAGCCTTCTACTTGGACTCTGCTTCCACTATCGCTCCCTCTACTCTTTTCCCACTCAGTAGCCAGAAATGGTCCTGTCAGTCCTTCCCAGTACCCGCCCATCTCCATCAAAATAAAATCTAAAGTTCTTCCTATGTGTCGTGAAGTTCTTGCTCATGCAGACCTCAACCTCTTCTGCTACCCACTGTCCCCTCCTCCCCAGCCTCTGGTCTCCAACCTTCCAGACTTCACACAGCTACTCCCTCTGCTTGGATTATTCTGCCACTTGTAATCCTCTCTTCCTCTATGTGGCATGTGCTTTACTCTGTCACCACTGATTAGACTGCAAATTATGTGACAGCAGGATCTTCATTTTCTGCTGTATCACCAGCATCTGCGTATGGTGTCTGAGAATGCGATGAACAAATGAATGAATGGACATACAAATGCATAAAACCTTGCTCAAAGCCTCTGTGTGAGGACAGTGCTGACTTGCTTTCACAGTTTCTACCTCACGGAGCTCACTCTGATTGCACGAGAGGTAGGATGCCCTCAGCTTTACCTGTTCAGGTGATCCTTCTCCTAGAGCGTTCTCCATCTCCAAAGTAAAACACAGTGAGGGATCAGAAATAGCACAAAGACCTTCCCTGGTCTATCCTTCCTCTAGTACTGATATACTTCTCTGAAAGTGGCCACAGGGGGGCAGAGGAGGAATCCAATGCTGATGTCATGTGACATGCTTGTCCTGATAAATGGGGCCCTTCCAAGCTCTGACTGAACCCTGCTGTGTGTAATGCCAAGCAATGCACTAACAAGAGAGAGATGAGGAAATTGCATCAAGGAAGCCAGCTCATTCTTGTGGAGATGAGAACACAGCATCTGACATCCGCACGACACCTACCTTAGCAGGGGTACAGGAACCATCCTGCTGTCAGCCTCATGACAGAAATAACACAGAAATTGGCAACAGACAGCACGCTCAGCTTCTGGGCTCTCAGATTTTGTGCACCAGTGACACTGCACTTCAGCAGTCAAATCAGAACGGCAGATATGGTCATTGAATTTAAGTATTAAAGGAGGTAATGGTACTTAAATACAGCTTCCTCATAAGTGTTCAGTAAATGTTAGCTGCAATGTGAAATTCACTGTCATCAGAGCTTCCTGGGTGGACTTATTCATTCATTTAACAAAAATTTTCTAGGCTTCAACAACGTGCCAGACAATAAACAGAATAAAAAGACTGCAAAAGATTATCCTGCCTTTTGTAAGCTAGCAATATAACAACCATGATGGTGACAGAAAGAGCAGATCACATTTTTTTCTTTTTTTTTTTTGAGCACTTTTTTTTTGCTCTGGTAGATCCTTTAAGCGCAATATCTCATTTAATGATCATATCATCCCTGGGTATTGTTATCCTCATTTCAGAAATAAGGAAAAACAGAGACTGAGAAATTTATCCAAGGTCACACTGGCATTTACAACTCCTTTATCAAAGCTCATGCCCCAAACCTCCAGGAAACACTGCTTATCCTTTAAACCAGTGGATTAACAAGAGGATATATCAGGACCTCACCCTCAAGTGAGTCAGAGGGTTTCTGAAAGCAAAAGAAGTGAACTGCTAAGACCAAATACTCCTGCTCTGCCTAGTGGATGAAGTCAGCCCAGGGGTTCAAAGCTGGGAATCCAGAGCAGGGTCAGATTGGCAGAACTAATAAATTTACCTATATAGTTGCCAACTAAGAAATAGCAAGGGGCTGGGGATTTAGCTCAGCGACAAAGCACCTGCCTGGCAAGTGCAAGGTCGTGAGTTTGATTCCTGGTACTGCGAGAAAAGACAAAAAAAAAAAAAGCAAGACTTCAGGGGAAAACTTCATCTTCCCAGACTTCTTATTGAGATGAAGCTTCAATTTCATTTTATCCCCAAATGTCTTGGCATTTCTACATATTAGAAATTAAAGTAGACATTTAACCTCCCCCTACTTTCTCTCTCTCAGTGCGGTGGTGCTTGCCAGTAATCCCAGCTAATTTAGAGGCTGAGGCGGGAGGATCCAAGAAGTCCAGACCAGGCTGGGCATCTTGGATGAGATCCAGTCTTGATACAAAACTTTAATTTTTTAAATTTTAATTTTCATTAGTGTATGTTTGCAGTACCTAATGATTAAACTCATCATAAGGATTATAACACATCTTAATTCTTTTTAACGTCCTTTCCCCTCCTCTTGCTTCCTCAAAATAAAATTTTTTTAAAGGACTGGGGGCGTAGCTCAGTAATACAGCACTTCCTTAGCGTGCACCAGTGGCCCCAGTAGAGAAAGAAGGAAAGGATTATTGGAGGGAGGGGGGGAGGGGAAAAAAAGACTTAGCTTTTTCTCAGAATCCCATAACCTTTTATCTTTAACTTCCTTAAAGCACTTGGCACTCTCCCTCACTATTTTAAAAGTTACTGACATAAGTGGTCATTTATTACCTTGCTGGAATACACTACCTTGCCAGAGAGGCTAAACATACACAAATACCAGCATCCTTTATTGGTAGATGAGGAAAACAGTGACTTTCCCAAGGTTACACAAAGAGCCAGTAGCATAATCCACACCCAAACGCACCTGACTCATAGCCCAGTGATCTTTTAAGTCATTATACTGCCTCTTCTAAACGTGCAAAAGGCTTGAAAACTTTGAGAGGCAAAAGAAGTGTAAGCAAATATTTCTGTAATCCTTGTGACATGATTGTCCTAAATCCTTGAAGTAAGAGTCCCTGTGGGAGCAGCACAGAACAATCCTTACCAACCTCAAAAGCAAACTGGTAATAGTAATAACAATAATATGATCGTGGCTGAGCATGGTGGCACATGCCTGTAATTTCAGGAAGGAAGTGGGAGGCTGAGGCAGGAACATCTCTGCAAGTTTGCAGCCAGGGCCACATAGTGAGTCCAAGCCCAGCGCCTGAACTGCATAGCGAGACACTGTCACAAAAAAAAAAAAAAAAAAATCGTGGTAATAACAGAGCACTTCTATTAGCACTTTTAACGTGCCTGGCATAGTTCCATGGACTTTGCAAATATTAACTCTTAATCGTCACACACCCACGCAATCGTCGTGGGTATTTTCATTATCTTCACTTTTCTTTTTTTTTGTTGTTGTTGTTGTTTTCCCGGTACCAGGAATCGAACTCACGACCTCAAGCTTGCCAGGCAGGTGCTGTGCCGCTGGGCTAAATCCCCAGCCTCTATCTTCACTTTTCAATGAAGCAAGATTAACCTTAAGTACAAAGGGGTTAACTAACTGGCCCATGGTCATCTAACAGCAATTAACACCTGCCATGTGCGAGAAACTAAGTTCAAAAATTGTACTAAGTCCCATTACAGTACCTCGTTTAATACTCAAGCAACCTTAGGATAATTACTATCATCATCACCACTTTCAGAAGCCAACGGGGCTCTGAGAGCGCAACCTGCCCAGAGTCTCTGCTCTTAATCACCACCTAGGCGCTCAGGGCAGGGAGGCAGAGCCAGGCTGCGCCCTGGACCCGGGCTGGGCAGAGGTCGGCCAGCGGGACATCAGCAGGGCTGCGCCAACGTGAGATCCGAGGGAGGAAGCTCTGACTGGTCCAGCGTCTCCAGCCCAGGACGTCACCTAGGCTCCTCCGCGCACCACGGGCCGCTGCTGCCCCCTGCTGCCCGGGGACCTCGCTCGGCCGCCGCCACCACGCGCGCCACCCCCGCTGGAGTCAAACCGGGTGGGCGGCCCGGCACCTCCGCACTGTTCTCTCGTCCTCGCGTCCCTTCCCACACCATCGGCCTCCCGCCCCGCGCATCTCCGCCCAGGAGCCAGGCTTCTAGCTCAGCTGCCTCCCACGGACCACGCGCGGGCTCCCTCTCCCAGCAGCGGGTTGCCATGGAGAAGGACGCGGAGAAGCACCCGAAGGTGAGGGGCTGAGGCGCTTGCCAAGTCAGTAAAGCCGGCCCTTCCCGCTCCCGGTTGCCATGGTGACGAGAGAGGGGCGCTAAGGGCCGGAAGGGGTGGAGTCTGCAGAGGACCGTTTGCACTCGGGGTCGCAGAAGCAGCCTGAGCCCTCGGGTTGCCATGGTGATGCGGGCCTGAGTGAAGCGCCGAAGCGGCGGGGTCCGAGGCACTTTCGGTCTCTTGGAATCGGGAGAGATCTCGTAGCTCCCTATGCTGGTGTGTTACCGCCAGCCACAAACCAGGAAGAGAAGGAGGGACTCGCAGGCGCAGAGACTGTCCCTGGGCTTTTCGTATTCCAGTCATGCTCCTGTCCCTGGTTGCCATAGCGACGCAGCAGCAGAGGAGGGCCAGGTCGCATGTGGTTGTAGAGAGCAACAAGAGTTATGCCACGCTCCTGCTTAGCTCCTTAGGACACTCGTTGAGGGTAGGCTTCTTCCTGGGGCCCCTGTGACCTCACCCTCTCGACCTCACATGGTGCGGTGGGTATGCAGTGGTGGGCCGAGCCCTGTCTCTGCAGGAGCGAGTATCTGACCTTTTCAAGGCTGCCTAGGTTTTGGTAGCATGCCTTCATGTATTTAACTGGTGCCTTTACTGGAGGACATTAATTTTCCCCCAGTCTTTAATTTCTACAAACAATACTACTGTAACATATGTAGTAATATTTTTGTATATACTTGTGTGTACATTTGCAGTGCTCTCTGTGGAATCCATCTCCAGAAGTAAAATTACTGCGTCAGAAGACAAATGCAGTGTTCATTTTCATGGATATGGCCAAATTGCCCTCCGAAGACACTCGCAAATTTACGTCTTCACCAAAACTGGAATCCAATAATTTTAATTAGGACTGTATACACCGTGATGAGCTACTTGGAAAGGATTTCCCAGAGCCAGCACCATTAAGCCAATTTAATTCTTTGATTTTTTTAAATACAACGTCATTAAGCTATTCAATCCCATTTATTTCATAATAAAGATTTTACTTCTTTAGTAACTTGTATGTCGAATTTTACTTCTGCTTTTGTCATTGTGGGGTTTCTTATTTCACCCTTATTTTATTGCAAAAAAAAAAAAGTAGGGAACAGAAAAGAGCAACTCTCAGGTTCAGAAGCGGGTCTGCCACAGCTCAGCTACGTAGTTCTTCTTTTTGACACAAACAACATCACAGAATTCCAGCTTCAAAGTTACTTTGAGGCCATGGTACAAGGAAAGAGAGCAAGTGTACTTTGTAATTTTGTCTAACTGCAGAGAAAAAACATGGCCCTGTGCCACCACAAAATATCAAGTTGTCCCCCTCCGTTGATGAAAATGTCATTGTTGTTCTAGGGTGCTTTCCCCATTATTGTTCTGTCCATTTATTAAGGTTCCCAACTGGGGAATTGTTCCTGCTTCCTGACAACATCCAATGTAGACACTGAACCCAGCCCCCAACTCACCTCGCCAAAGCACAGACCCAGTAATAGAGTGTTTCTAACAGCCCTTTCCTGAAATATCCCATTGTCCCTCACTGGTGTGCATCTCCCTCAGTGAAACAATAATAAACCCAACTCATTCAAGGATGGATGTGTTTCTGGTGGTCTTTCCTTAAAGGACACGGGCACTAACAAGTTCTACTTTCTTCGGTAAAATTTTGTAGGTCTAGAATTTGTCAATGACAGCTCTCTATAAATGTTTAATAACAATGTGATATGGCCAGTCTCTTTTTAGTTTGCATTGAGTGTTTCAACCAGATCTAATTTCCCCTAGATTTTATAATTTCCAATGTTACCCGCAAGATGTGACTTCTGAATTTTTTAAGTACTGTATCAAATTTAGTAGATGTAATCTTAACCACTGTTAATTTTATGTTATATGTATGTCTAACAATGATAGTCATTATGAATCAGACAAAAGGTGGAAGTATTTTACTTCTTGACTCAAGACCCTGTCTCAAAATAAAAATAAAAAAAAAATTAAAAGAAGGCTGCAGCTATAGCTTGGTGTGAATGCCCTGGGTTCAATTCCTGATAACACACACACACACACACACACACACACACACACACACACACGCACACACACATTCCCTCTCTCCCTCTCTCTGTCTCTCTCTCTCCTTCAGTAAGGCAATGATGCAGTACCCGGATACAAAGCAAAGTTAAAATGTTCTGCTTTCATTGGCATGCTTACTGTGTGCCACCGTGCCATTTACTGGGCACTGGGAACACAGGCTCTGCCATGAAGTAGCTCATGGTATAATCAGAGAGATATAGGAGCTGGCAGGCCTCATTTTGTCAGATGGACGAGAATGTAAAAGGCTTTCCAGATGGAGGGCACGGCAAAATGCAAGGCGCTTATGAATTCAGTAAATATTAGGAGCCTACTTGTGCCAGGAACTGGGGTGGGCACTGGGGATGCAGGAGTGAACATGTTACGTGCTGTGCCTTCCCTCCCAGGAGTCGAGTTCCATGACAGGATGCATATTGGATAATCATACCACCTACGAGATATGATAAATGTTGCAAAGTAAATTCCAGGGTTCTGTAGGCAGGTGTGGCAATGGCAACCTGACAAGTGGGGCCAAAGAAGGCTTTTCTGAGAGACTGATTTTTATCCTGAAATGTGAAGTACGAGTTGGAGTTTGCCAGACAAGACAGGGTTGTTCCTGCCGTGTGCCCTGGAGAGGGGAGAGGCTTGGCCCTTTGGAGCACAGAGGGGCCAGTGTGTCTGGAGCAGGACAGGCTAGAGAAGATGACGGAGGTAGGCAGGTACCTGACCCTGCGAGGCCTGTCTGTCACCTTAGAGAGTTTGCATTGTAATTTACAAACAACACATCAGAGAAGACTGTCAGTATAAGGAGTGGCATGATTAGATTAGAAATACATTTTGTGCTATCTGGAGAATACATTTGAGGAGGATGAAAAGTGCCACCAAACCACTTAGAAGGAGGCTACTGCACTTCTCCTCAGGGCAACAACCGTAATTGGACTGGGCGGTGCTTCGAGAGGCAAAGTACCTCGTGTAGTGCTGAGTGTGCCCATGGGATTGGTATGGATGGAGTGGTGTGTGGGGGGTGGTTAGCAGTGAAGAACATGAGAAGCAACCCTGAAATGGAAATCCTAACTTCTAGTACTTTGGAATGTACATTTGGGGATGGGGCCTTTAAAGATACATTAAGGTGAAATGAGGTCATGTTACCAACCTAATATGACCAATGTCTTTAAGAGAGACACCAGGGACACGTGCACAGAAGAAAGGCCATGTGAGGACTCAGGGAGAAGGTGGCCGTGGGCAAGGCACGTATGAAGAGAGGCCCCCAGAAAAACCAAACCTGCTGACACTTTGATCTGGGACTTCCAGCTTCCATAACTGTGAGAAAATAAATTTCTGTTGTTTAAGTCCTGGCCATTGGCATTATATTAGGGCAGCCCTCTCAGACTACTACAATCCCAAATGTCGGTGTAATAAGGAGTGGAGAAATAAATGGTACATCTGTTTTATGAAAAAGTCTTACCCCAAGATATACCCATACAAGCTCAAGATTTTGACTTCGTGACAAGTTTATTTAGTGTTCTCTCTTTGGCTTGTGAGGAATTTCATTGTATTTGCCAGACGGGACTGATATTAAGCCTCAGAGCAGCCACTAGGATACCAGCTCTTCAACAGTGTTCTGGGAGCAGGTTGCTTTGAGTTTGTTAGTTACAGCAGTGATAACCCAGGTACTACCTGCATGGTTACCTTTGTCTCTATTATTCTGGATTTTTGTAATTTCATAAATCTGAGAATCATATATATGTTTTATTTATGATTTCTTGCAGTATTTATGTATAATAAGATAAAATTTTTCCACATATAAAAGTTTACCCTATGATTTTTTTTTTTTAAATAATCTTTTCAGTCATGATGGTACCTGCCTGTAATCTCAGCACTTGGGAGGCTGAAATAAGAGGATGTCTGCAAGTTGGAGGCCAGCCTAGGCTACATAGTGAGTTCAGGATCAGCCTGAACTGTACAGTGAAACCCTGTCTCAAAAAAACAAAAAAGAAAGAAAGAAAGGAAAGAAGGAAAGAAGGAAGGAAGGAAGGAAGGGGGAGAGGAAGGAAGGCAGGCCTTGGAATGAGAGGGAAAACTATTCTATGCAAATATTAAAGATAAGTTAGGAAAGAATGAGTTTGTGCTGTATATACTGACATAAAACAAGGTCCAAACCACATGGTTAAGTAAAAGAAAAAAGATGCATAAGAGTAGATATGAATCTATTTTTGTTTTTTAAAATAACTATTTGTTAGTAGATACTTAAGGGAAAACCTGGATGCATGTAGAGCCAACTTTTTAAAGTATTGTAAAAATTATACCATTTAAAAATCTGAATGGGGCTGGGGATATAGCTCAGTGGCATAAAATCCTGCCTGGCAGGCACAAGGTCCTGAGTTTGATTCCTGGGACCAAAAAAAAAAAAACCTAGAGAAATCTGAATGAACTCTGTTAATGGTTTTCTGAAGCAGGGAGATGACAGTGCATGATAATATGACAAAGGGTAATAGAGGAACAGGAGAGCCACAGTCCGTTATGCCGGTGTTTCGAGGCTTGCCGACCATATCACATGACTGGGGTGACCTTCGGGGTCAAGTCACATAGTAAATGCCAGTAAGTGTAATGTCTATCTTTCAAGAACATAAACATAACCATAAATATGTAATACTCCTCCATTGCAAGAGGTCATCTTTTATGCCCCGTTGTCCTACTGGATAGGATGCTGATGTTTACATAAACGTACAAATGGAGTGGAGCCCGATGCCTCAGCACAGTATCTTTATGCAGCCAGAATCCAGCTTTATGCACAGAGCGCCCAGTGTGTCTGGTTCAGGGAATGCGACCATCCTGAGGCCCCAGCACTACAAGTTCTTTGTTTTCTTGTCTTCGAAAGGAGGAGGCTACATGAGCTGTGGTGATTTCTCATATGGCTTCCCGCCAGTTTTCTGAAACCTCTGGACCTCTCAGCTATTGACGAAGCGCTTGAAGTGGCTGTTCTGGAATGAAGCGGTGTCCTTGGAGGAAACTGGACCCAGGGTGACTGTTCAATAGTGTGAATCCCGGCAGTCTTTGAACAAATGTATTTAAAGTCATTTAGTGTGATTCTTTAGCCGAGACACATTGAAGAGGATCTGCTTATAAAAAGTTGAATTTAATGAAAGAATTTAATAACAATCCCTTCATAATACATCAAAATACTGCTTTTCAGACTTTTTAACTACTTCTGCTTGAGGCAGAATTTCTGGCAAGGAGCCTAAGCTAAATAGTAAGGCACTTTACTGAGTGGAGAAATGAAGATTGAACATCGCCGGAGTGATTGTGTACATTTTGGAAAATTATTTCATTTATCAAAATGAAATTCACAGCACTTTTAAAGCATGCAAATGATCCAATGGCATTGAATTAGAAAAAAGTTAATCGAGCCGTCTTTATGGAAATCCTCTGTGCTAGGGATGGTGAAAGAAGCACTATTAATAATCCAGGATGGCATTCGCCGTGACATGTATGGGACCGTGTGCCAGGCAGAGGCCGATCACAGGGTGGGTTATCTGCACAGCTGCCCAAAGCACTAATCCATCAGCAGCACTAACAATGCCGAGGGAACAGATGGGAAATACATGCCAGGTACCTGGGAGTTTCACATAGGATTCCTTCCGAGGTGCCAAGCTGTTAAGTGGCTCAACTCCCACTTGGGCAGCATGTTCCAGTGAGGTGACAAGGAGGGTTGCTGGAGGTGCCGAAGGCTTTCAGTGAAGTTGAGGATGGTGTTTTCAAGGGAAGACTGCCCGGAGGTGAAGAAGGAGCCAGCCCTGTGAGCAGCCAGGCCAAGAACATTTGGGGCAAAGGTACAGCAAGCGCCAGTGACCCTAAGCAGGGGCTGGAGCACAAAGAACCCGGGAGAGAGGTATCAGTGAGGCTGGGAGGTGGTCAGGAGCTGCAGGAAGAAAGATATACAGTTCCTGAGGTGCAGTAAGAAAACCCTGAGCTTTCAGCAGGGGAGCGGCACGAACAGACTCACCTGTGAGATGATGCATACAGCTGACTCGGGAGAAAGGCTCCATTCAGGACAGTGGCTGAGCAGGGCCAGGCTAGCAGTGTCCAGTGGGAGCTGATGGAGGGAGAGGCGCCAACAGATGGTAGGGATGAAGAGAAGTGGACGGACATGGGCTGAGGACTTGCTGAAAAGAAACGGGACACTGAACATGACTCCGAGGATTACAGCTTGTGTGTGAGGGAAAATGGTGGATGGCTGGCCATTCCTGATGTAAAGCAGACCTGGAAAGGACGGTGCTGTGAGTGGAGGGTTTCTTTGGAGCACACGTGTGAGATGCTATTAAGCATCCAGGTGGTGGTGAGGTAGGTACCCGAGTCTCCAGGAGACCTAAGGGCAAGAACTGAGCTGAGGATGGGAATCTGTGACTCAGCATAAAGATGAATGCAAAACCATGCCCCAGGGCGATGAAGCAGGCAGGAAGGAGCAGGGGCTGAGGACCATTTGCTGAAGAAGGTCAGTGGTCAGACAGGAGGTAGAGGAAACCCTGCAAAAAAAAAAAAAAAAAAAAAGCCTGAGAAGGAGCAGCTGGTGGGATTGGAGGAAATTCCTAGGGATTGACTGCACTCAAATGTAGTGGGATAGAAAAATCTAAATGAGCCTTATGTTACCTTTAGTGCATAAAATACATTTTTGGCCATATGAAAGATGAGTCTCATGCAGAGGATTCATCTTTTACTGCCAGTTCTTCTGCATTAACCACCTGCTCTGTTTGCAGAATTCAGATATGAAGTACTATTACGAGAATAAAGGGGTCCCATCTACCCCAATGGTTGAAGCCCAAAAGTGGTCTCTGATCCCATTTTATTTGCTAACCAAATTCAGTCTATGCTGGTACCGTACTCATTGGTTCCATTTTCTAAACATCCCATGTCCATCTACTTTTCTTGCTCATTTCCACTGTCCTGCCCCGAACCAGAACTACAGCCTTCTCTTTCTTGGACAAGGACAGTGGCTCCCTAGCTGGGGAGGGCTGGCCCATCCTCCTGCAGCCCATCTCCTGGCAGTAGCTAGAGAGGTCTTCACAGAATATCAGTCACATGTTGCCCTAAAACTCTCAAGTGAAATAGCCTCAGTGATGAACAACAGGGGACTGGTTACATAAGTAACAGTACAATACACACATGCGTTGATGCAGACATGCAAAATAAAAAGTGATCATAAGAATGATCTTTCGGTTCTGACACAAATGATCTTCAAGAAATGACACTGAAAAAAAGCCAAGTGTGGTTAAGACGCCACCACTTGTAAAAGAAAAGGGAAGGAAGCGTATGTGCGTGTTTGTGTGTAAGAAAACATACGAAACTGGTACCTGAATGGCATCCAAGGAGAAGAGTGGGAAGGGAGGGGTGCAGGGTGGCATGTTTTAGTGCTTCTGAATTTTAAATGTTATGACTGTGAGACAGTCATAATAGCTGTTCACCACTAAATCAATGATTTTTTTTTTAACCTGAGTAAAATCATTACCTCTTACTTAATTTCACTTGCCTTCTCGCTTAGCAGAAAATCTAGTCTTCTCACCTACATGGCCTCATACCCAGCCTGCCCCCACCCCTGGTATTATCTGCCAGCACTTCTTTACTAAGTTCAGCCCACACTGACTTCCTTTCAGTCCTCAATGGGACAGGGTTCGTGCCTTCATAGGACTAGTGCTTTTGCTGTACCCTCAGCTCCCTGGATAGTTCTGTGTGGCTCACTCTCTACAGGTTCTGCTCAGAAGTCACTTTTCAGACAGGCCTGCCAGACCTCAGCTGAAATTTGCCTCCATCACCCCCAGTACTGAAAGTTATGGAAGTCCTTACCACCATAATATTATAACAGCTTGTGTTCTGTTAACTTTACAGTTCATAGCAGCAGTATAGCACTTGGGAGGCTGAGGCAGGAAGATCGCTGCAAGTTTGAGGCCAGCCTGGGCTACAAAGTGAGTTCAAGGCCAGCCTGAACTGCATAGTGAGACCCTATCTGAAAAAGACAAAAAAAGAAAACAAAATAAAAATGTAGCAGTGTAGAGACTGGAGTTCAAATTTTGTTTGTTTGTTTGTTTGGTACCAGGAATCTAACTCAGGACCTTGTGCTTGCCAGGCCGGTGCTTGTGTCCGCTAAGCTACGTCCCCAGCCCTGGAGTTCAAATTTTAGCTTTGCTTGCTTTTGGCTCTGTGACCTAAGCAAGTCCCAAACTTCACTAGGTTTTGTTAAAATTTGGTGAAATCTGAAATACAATGTGCCTGGCAGATCGGCAGTCTGGCAGATCTCACAAGGAGCAGGCTAGAGAAGAATGATGGTTGCCTATTTCGGAATGAGAGATGGTCCAGTTAGGGAAGGTATGAAGTAAGGAGCAGAGGTCTCCACCTTCAGGGACCCTGACTCCATGCTCAGCACAGGGTAATACCCGGAGTTTCTCCTTACCGTTTTCTATTCCCTGCCCCTCCCCCCACCGGGATTGGAGTCTATGCTTATGATCAACAACCACCGGGATCGTTTCTCTCTTCACGGGGAATTGGTAGCTTGTCTTTTGATTTTCTTCTTGTAAATGAGTGATATGTTTTGGTCCAGAAAACAGTACGTAGAGTTTCTGAACAACATCATCAAATTAAATGCTGTGCCACACTGGCTTCAGGAAGCCGTTCATCTCTTTGTTTCTTAAAAGGAGTAACATGGTTGATCGGTTTTGCCTCTGCATATTTATTTGTTACAACTGATAAAAACACCAACATTTACAGCCACAGAACTGAACCCACATTCTAGTCTAAGTGCCTAAATACAACGTTATTTTCCAGACACCGTGTTCATAATTTATTTTCTCAATTTAGACTGCAGCCGAAGGAACAAGGGCTGGATTTGTAATGACCGGGAGGAAGTCGTGAATCTCTGAAATTTGACAACAGATGTCACTAGTGCCACATCACTCACAGAGCCATCAGCGCTACCTGCCATTTCAGGGCTTCTGTATCTTCTTCGGCATAATATACATTTTTTTAAAGAATGCAGTGGCTTATTATAAAAAATTTCTGCCTTCTTGTGCTGTCCCCTATTTATCCCTGCAGAGGCTCTAGGAAGTCACAAACATAACCCCCATTTTGCAGACAGGGAAACTGAGGCTCAGAGCTGTCCAGTGTTGCCCAAGATCGTGCAAAGACGATCCTTGCCTGTCTGTCTTCAAAGCTCTTTTCATGCTACCCTTGGTTTAAGTCCAGCATCGCTATAAACAGTCCCCAAAGTCTGCCGTACTCCCAGCCACCATCTGAGCCAATTAGAGCTCCTTGGAACAGGAGTGTCACACCGCAGCAGATCAATAGACATGGAGTAGGCTGAAATGCAGAATTTAAGTGAGCAAATGATGGCACAGAAGTTCGCAGAATCAGAATCCCCACAGGGCCCCTAGCTTGCAGCTCCTGATGCTAAGTCACTGACATTTGCAAAGCCTGCTCTTTAACAAATTATACATCCCACTTCCTTTCCCACTGCCTCCCTGTGAGGCAGCAATCAGCTTTGTCATTCATTCTTCAGGAAACCAGCCTGAGTGTGCCAGGAAGATGGCAACTGAGGTCCTGAGAGGTCTCTTTCTCAGAAAATCTGGGAACAAAGAAGCCCTATTGTGTCATTTGACTCACAGCCCTCTTTTCAATTCGGCGAGGAGAGTATGTTCATTACCCAAAGCCCTTGTGAGGATGGAGAGGGCAGGGATGAAAGAGAGAGTTGCAGAGGTCATGATGGGTCTTTCAGATGGGGAACAAGAGGGTCACTAAGGTTGACTAGTCTCTATCTTTATACATCTGCTCCTATCCTCTATAAACAGGCCAGCTAACTAGCTGTTGCCTCCCATTTTACAGGTGGAGAATGAGAGGCTTAGAAATCCTATAACTCAGCCAGGACCCACAGGCTGGATTCCAAGCAGGTCTTTCTGGCTGACATCATCTCATCCATTCTCCTATGAATCCCCACTCTTTGTGGTTCCAGTGTCAGCTTTTTTTGGTGTGGTGGGGTCTCACTATGTAGTTCAGGCTGGCCTTAAACTAATGGCACTCCTCCTGCCTCAGCCTCCTGAGTGCTGAGATTACAGGCGTGTGCTACCACACCTGCCTCTACTATCAGCTTTTTATTGATGCCCTTCTCCAAGGCAGATGACCAGAGGTGTGACTTCAATATCTGGCTTCTGGTCCAGGCTTGGCAGCCATGGACAAGCCATACTACCCCTCTGATTCTTTTTCCAAAGATAAAAGGAGTCAGAGTTGTTATGGTAGGCTCAAGTCAGACATGGTCCATTCATCATCCCTTCTGGAGCTCCCACCTGGAATTTAGTGCTGGGAATTGACAGGGCAGAGGGTCTCACAGCTGTGCCTGGGGACAAGCAGATGTAAGTATTTTGCAACTTACAAACGACCACATAAAGGTAAGTGAATATAAAAAGGATATTATTACTTCCCTGAAATATGAAGAAGCTGCCTTTTCTTAGAGTAGACTAGATTGAAAATTTTCAAATAGAACATTTACTAGAGAATTAAAAAAATGGGCCCTCCCCAAAGTATAGCAATAAGAGAGTTTGCCAAAGACAGATTTAGGGTCTCACCCTTCTAAAGCCTTTAAGGCTGGCAGATGGTTAAGTGGGCAACAGACCAGAAAGGGGAGGAGGAAGAAGGCCTCTCCCAGTGTTATGGTTTGTGTCTGGATGTCCCCGTCAAACCTCATGCAGTCATGGGGGGGCAGGCTTTCTCAGAGGTAGCTGAATCTAGAGTTTGTGACATTAAGGGTGATGGGATCAAGGCTGAGTGATTGCTGGATCAGTCCCCTGATTGGATTGGCACCACCCTAATCCCAGCAGTCTTCATACGATAAATGTGGCAGAAAGAGGTTTGTCTCCCCCTTTTTGGCTCTTGTTACTTTTGGTATCTTTCTCTGCCACGAACTGTTGCCCCTCTGCCGTGTGCCACCCTGTCTTGGAGCTAGCACATTACAGGCTGAAATCTCTACAAACTGTAAGATAAATAAATCTTTCCTTGTTTAATTTTGGGCATCAAATATTTTGTCTTAGCAGTGAGAGAAAAGTAACTAAGACTTCAAGGGAGCAGATGCAGAGTATCCTTGCAGCCCCCTCTTAGAAGTCTGCTTTCTTTCCTCAGATGAAGAACTTGTACCTGTTCATTCATAGCCCCATTCATTCATTCATTCAGTTTGTCTTATACCCGGCACTTGGTACTGATGGCATACACTCTACAAATAACTACCGGAGTAATTAGTTTTTTCAAATGTGAAGAAAGCATGGCTTTTCCTATGAGGAATTCATAGTAGAAGTTACCTATGTAAATGTCTGTAGTTCTGCTTCCTCCATGACGCCAGCTCTGTTCTCCATCCCAGCTCCTTCTAGGAGGCCTCACATAGGGTGCCAATAACCAGAGCTGAAGGAAGAAAAAGAGGAAACAGGCCATATTTGACAGACAGGGACCTGGTGGTGGCGACAGGGGAGCTACTGAGGTCAGTTCTGACTGTGATGAGCACGTGCAGGTGTTCTGCAGCGGATAGAGCAGGCAGGAGCCCTATAGTCAGGTGGCTGAAAGAGCTTCCAAATCCCCAGGAGGGGCAAGGGCTCTATGTGCTCTCTGATCACAGCAGTGGGCCTGCATCCTTTACCTCACCATACTCCTCAGGCTCCCAGGAAAGTGCTTTGCTCACTGTGTCCCCTATCCCCAGCCAAGTGCTTTGGGTAGACTTGAACCTAGACTCACCAAACTCCAATGCTCTCTTTCTCTGGCACATTCTGGATTAAAGTCACCCAGAGGCAATGGTGAAAAATGCAGAATTTGGAGCCTCATCTATCCCCTTAGACTATGATCTGGGAAGTCTGGAGTAGGGGGAAAATCTTTATTTTTGACAAATACCGGTATGACTCTGATAAGGGCTGTACAATCTACCTTGGGTACAAACAAGTAAAGTGTCATACTCCTGAGCACTCACAAGAATGACCCCAGAATAAGCAGAGCGAGGCTTAAATCATCATCTGGATGGAGCAGGCGTTCTTTTGAGCTCAGGTTAACTCACCCAATTACCCTAGCAAGTCCATGAGATGGGAGCTATTGTTATCTCCCACCTCATCTTATCATCTCAACATATCAACTATATTTTAATTACACATCATAAAGCAGGAAAAGCAGCAACAAAAACTGAGGTCAAGGAAGACTTTTATGAATACTACAGACCTAGAGAGGACACATAACTTCTTAATGCCAGAGAACTTTTCATGGACAGACCCAGTTTGGGACATCTGCAGTTGGACCTTTGAACCACCATGCTAAACATCTCTCACAAACACTAAATGAGCCAGGAGGGAAGGAATGATGCTACCTGGTATTCTAACTGGGGAAGCAGGAGGCTGGTTGGGGAGATCTTTAGAAAGGACTCGTAAGAGCAAAAAGCCAACCCATGCAGAAGGTGGAAAAGGGCATCACAGACCAAAATCATTTGAGTCACACTTATAGAGGAAGACCGGGCAGAGCAGATGTAAGGGTCATGGACATGCCTTAGTCTATTTTCTGCTGCTATAAGGGAATACTTGAGACTGAGCAATTTATACAGAATAGAGTCTTATTTACTCATGGTTCTGGAGGCTGGGAAGTCCAAGCACATGGGCCCAGTATTGGCCAAGGGCCTTTGTGCTCCACTATTCCATGGTGGAAGGAAGAATAGCCAGAGAAGGCAGAAGGATAGAGCAAGAGGACCTGGACTTTTAGAACACACCCACTCAGCTACAACTAATTCATTCTGTCAAGGATGACATCAATCCATTCACATGGGCAGAGCTCTTACAATGTAAGTTCCTCCACTGAGGTTTCAGTTTCCAACAGATAACTTTAGGGACACACCCAAACTATGGCAGAAAATGCCTACCCCTGACCAGTATATTGCAGTTTGTTAGTTGCCCAAGTAATAGTTCCTGTTCTAGATCCGGTGTGCCTATCTCCTAGAAACAGCTGGTCACTGTGATCCCCAACTGACAAGCTATTCTGCCTCTGTACTTCCAACTTGCTTATCCAATATAAGCACTAGACCACCAGAGATCAGGGCCTGATATTATGGAAGTGATCCTGATCAGTGCCCATTGACATAAATAAATCTGTCTCCAAATCCTGGGTGTTGTTTTAGTGTTTTTGCTTGCCATTGCATTTTGTGTGTCAGCTGGGAAGATCAACTATGCCCTCTTTGGTCACCAGTCGTGGCCCTTATGGATGGAGCAAGGACCTCTGAAGTTCCCAGCAGGAACTTCAGAGATTTTTTGAGTTCCCTTGGAGGTCTGGAGGAGGATTCCTGGCTCCCCACCTGAGCAGCTCACATTGGACCCCAAAGGGAGGAGGACACAGTCTGTCTATCTGTCCGCCTACCTGATTCTAGTAAGACCCCCCTTGGGGGGGGTACCCCAGTTAGTCAGTCTGTCAGTCCTGCCCAATTTGAGCAGAAAGACTTGATCACCTCTTGTTAGTTAAGGCCACCCTCAAGGGAAGGGGATTGGAATGTTTAACCTCTGAGTGCCTGTTGAATGATTGTGTGAGTGAGTGGAATGGACAGCATAAGCAATAGGCTGCTCTGTCTGTGCACCAAGATTAGGAAGCACTGGTCATGGTGGCTGATTGGGCCCTCACCTGTGGTTCTGTGGCAATTGACATATGACACAACAGAGGCCTCACACCCTCCTTAACTAAGTCATGCCTAAACCCTCATGAGGGTTGCAACCAGGTGGGCATATGAATGGTCTCTCTTTGAGGGGCACCTACCCTTTGTCTGTTGCACCATCACTCAAGGGTACACAACATACACCATAGAGAGAAACAGTGGGAACTAATTATTTAAAACCCATAGTCCCTGACTACAGAAAAAGGGGCTTTTATGGAGTTAAAAATGAAACCAAACCACTCCTTGCATTTCAAAATAAAAAAAGGAAAAAGAGGTCCATTCTTCCTGCGAATTCCACCTTGGTACCCTCGTTGGGTACCACAGCTGCTGCCAACAGCTATAGCTTCACTCCCAGCTTCCAACTGGAGCTGGTTCCAGCTAGACATTGCCTGCCTTCAGCCACAGAGGCCTTCCTTCCAGAACCTTCTGCTTGCATGCCTATCTTGGTCAGATGATGTCATCTAATGCCCACCTGAGCCACGTTTTGACTGAGGAAAAATGGGACTGTCAGCCCTGACAAATGAGGTTCACTGTGTCAGGCCTGAATAGATAAGACAAACTGAGCCCTATCAAACTGAGAACCTATGGTCATTGCAAAAGTTGCAGGTAAACCTGTGACTTTCCTGGTAGAAAATGGAACAAAATTCTCTCCCTTCAAAAGCTCTCTCTGTCAAAAAGTTACCATCGCTGGGGCAACTGGGACTCTTGCCTCTCGCCCCTTCTGCAAGGCACAGACTTACAGCCTAGGAAGACATCTCCTTCACACCAATACAGTCAGCCTTACTGTAGCTTAACCCTGCACATTCAACTTTGACTGTTTCCTGAGATGAAAGTGATGCCTGCATCAGCCTGAGACAGATAACCACAGTCCTGAAGTTCAGAAAACCTTCCCCCCAGAGGTATAGACTATAACTCACCTCTGGCCCTGAACATCAACCATGCTGCCTCACCTTGACCCCATTGCTATTAGGCCAGCTCACTTGGACTCAACTGCCATAAGGGGTTAAAAACTCTCCCATCTTGGCCCCACACCTGTGTACCCACCAGCCAACATGGGATGACTGTCAGCAAATCCTTTTAACTCTGTTTAATAGTGAAGAAAGTGGCTGCACTTTAGATGCAGCTCAAGCCTGGTTAAAGTCAAAAGTCCCTGCCACTGTGGTTGATCCTGATGCTTGGGTGAACACAGTCCTCCCCCCAATGCATCCAAACTGGGGCTGTAATGTGACAGAGAGCCATGAAGCCTTAGATCAGTACCACATTATTCTCCTGGCAGACCTCAAAGAGGGAGGCAAGAAGCCAATAAACATGTCTAAAGTTACTGAAGTTGGGCACAAGTGTCTACCTGGCAAGCACAAGGTCCTGAGTTAGATTACTGGTACCAAAAAAAGGTTCTTGCCTGCAATTATGCAGAATGAATGAAGTTACTGAAGTTACCCACTGAAGCCCCCACTGAAAATAAATTCTGCCAAAGCAGATCCTGTGAGATTGATGTATACTTTATCAAACATGAATTCCTGTACATGCTTGAGGGCCCTATACCTTTCCTGGGACATGACCAGCCTCCCTCACACTCCCAGACTTGATATTGACTCGGGCTATTCCGCAGGAGGAAGAATAGCTCCTATATCAGCCTGAAATGACTGATAATCATAACCCTAAAATTTTGAGAGACTCATTTCTAGAAGTATTGACAAAGAACTCACTCCCAGGGCTTGCTGTCAATTATGTCCCTTTGGTGATTGAGCTTTGTCCCAAGACAACTCCCACTTGCATCAAACAGTACACCTCTCTTGCCTGTAAAGCCAGTTCAAGATCTCCAAGCCACTGCAATGCCCTCCATATACATTGCCTCAGTCTTCTTCCACCCACAACTTGCTGGTACACCTGCCTGGACCTAAAAAAAAATGCCGCCTTCTACTTTTGATTGGCTCTTGTCAGCCAGCCCCTCTTCACTTTTAAATGGAAAGACCCCAGTTCTGGACTACTTGGACTCAACCTCTCAGAGGTTCAAAAACTTGTTTCCTGTTCATTGCATTTCTGATTGATGACACCCAAGCTGCCTGCTGCAATGTCTGTAGCTCTGCTACAATATCTGGCAGAAACTGGCTCCATCTCTAACAGCCACTGTCCTTCTGATCAAGAAAGCTGGCAAACTCACCTTTGGCTGAGACCTAACTGTCCAAGTGCCACATGCTGTACTGGGATAAACTGTTCTAAAAATAGATCCCCTGACAGATGCTAAATACACCCTGTTTACAGATGAAGGTGGCTCTGTTAGAAATAAAGTCTGCTAGATATGCTGTGTTCATGTTGGACAAAACTATTTTGGCCAAAACTCTCCTGCAGGGATTATCTGCACAGAGAACTGCTGTTTGGAAACCTGCCACCAGTTATGCAAAATAATCTGGTCCAGAGGCCTAAGCCCCCTCCAGGGACCCAGTTGACTGAAACATCAACCCCAGCCAGAAAATCTTTACCTGGTATTCCCAAAAGATCAGAGCCAGTCCTGTTCCCACCATTTGTTATGCAAGCTCAAGCCAAAGTGCCTACACCCATACCCCTTTAGCCAGCTCAGCCTTCAGGATCTATGTCACTGGCCCCGATCTATCTAGATAAAGTACACAGAAATAAAACATAGCTCTATAGAAACAGCTTGTAACCTGTTAAAAGACCAGCTATATTTGTAGACATTCCTGCACACACATATAACACAGGCACATATTAACTACCTCTACAAGTTTTAGAAATCCAGCCTTAGATCTGTTGAAAAATTTACCTGGACAGCTCCCCCAAGGCTCACTGTGAAGAGACAATGCACACATGACTGAAGCCTGAGGACATTATTCATAGGATTACTTCATAATTATTCCCCTCAATTTTTGTATGTTTTCAGGCTGCTTACCCCAGCCTTTGCTTCCCTGTCTCCTGCTAGCTATGTTTTTTTCTACAGATGGTTGCCCCAAAAGAATAGAACAATCTACCAAACACTTGACCAAGATATGCTGAACATCCAAGACACACTGGATACTCTCCTAGATCAGATGAACTACCTCACTACCTTGCCAGAGTAATGTTACAGAATAGACAGGCCTAAATTCTAAGTTGGTCTTGTCTCAGAAGATCACATGTAAGATGCCCAGTAAAGATTTGCTGGGGAAACTAAAAGAGGGGGGAAAATGTAGCAGAAAATGACCCCCAGCCAGTATACCTCAGTTTGTTAATTGCCCAGGTAATAGTTCTTTTTCCAGTTCCAGTTGCTCCTGTCTCTTAGAAACAGCAGGTCACTGTGATGTATAGCTAGCTGGTCACTATGATGCACATGGTATAAACCAGTTCCCAGTTGACAAGCCATTCTGCCTCTATACTTCCAGCTTGCTTATCCCATATAAGCCCTAGACCACCAGAGATTGGTGCCTGGTATTTTGGGAGTGATCCTGATCAGTGCCTGTTGACTTAAGCAAATCTGCCTCCAAATCCTGAATGTTGTCTCAGTGTTTCTGCTTGCCATTGCACACACATAAGAGTGTGAGACAGTGGCTCCTAGGGAACCCAAGAGGCCTAGGTTGCCTTCTGGACATTGTGCTAGCTGCAGTGGCAACCACACATGGCCTCTGAGTTCACAGATTCTTTGAAAGGAGGACCTTGGGGGTAAAAGCCAGCCCCGTCCCCTTTCTTCCCATGAGAACTTTGAGGTCCAGAGAAAAGGGGCTCAGGTGTACTCACACCACTGGTTAGGAGGAGAGGGGGCCCAGTCCGCTATTGGCCAGGCAGGAAATAAGGAAAAGGGAAGTAGCAGGCACTGAGCTCAGCCCTAAACAGACACTTGACTTTTGGACTCTCCCCCATCCTCTGGTTTACCCCAGAAGTGAGAAATTCCTGAAAGCTGTCCAAGCCAGGAGCTGTGAGGCCCACCCAGAAAAGGCACCTAACTCCAGAGAAGCTGTTGGAGGAGGGACTTCTGGGCTGCCGCAGTGGCACTAAGTGTTGTCCTGGACCATGAGCATGGGCGTCACCTGGAGCTTGTAAGGCAGGCACATTCTCAGGCCTTGCCCCAGATTGGCTCTCTCGGGCAGCCATCTGGGTTTTGGCCCAGACTTCAGGGAATGGTGATTCTCACCCAGATGTGAGAACCCTGACCTGAACCATTCTCAGAGTGAGCGGGCGCAGATACCCCACAACCCCCAGCTTGGTCTCCACCGCATCCTCTGGGCCTTGAGGTTTCTGGGGATTGTTCTTAATCCTCTGTGATTTCCCCAGTGTATTCCACACACGTATCCACTTGGTTAGCATAGGAGAGGGGAAAGCCTGGATTAAAAAAATGCTTCTGTTTTGAGAACAGTAAATCTGAAGCCGGAAGCCCTTCCAGAGAGACATGCTAAGTGTGTGGGACTGCTTGACCCACGGAGGGGGTTGGAGAGTGGGCAGGAGTGGTCACTAAAATGGACTCATTTCCAGCTCCATTGTCTCTGAGCACAGGCTTCAGGGAAGACATCAGAGGGAGGATCCAGGCCATTTCAAGTGCAGCAACAAAGGTGTGCACCTGTCAGCTTCCTGGCTTTCCGGGGCTACAGTGTGAATTTCCTCGCTTTCCTCTCTCAGATCCCAGACTCACTGCCCCAGCCCCAGGGCTCCAGACCCCATCTCCACTGGGCCTTCACAAAGCCCATACTTGCTCTTGGTGCTCTGCCACAGGTCTTCACAGGGGCCTGCCTGGCATGGCATGCAGGTGTCTGTTCAGGGCCACCGTATGGACCGGGGGGAGGGGACTCCCTGGCCACTCTGGCTCAAGTGCTCACCCACCCCTCCGTCCCCTTTCTCTGCCTCTGTTTTAGTTTCCATCCACCTGATATTGTTCAACCTGTTCATCTGTTTATTGTACAACTGGAATATAAGTTTCATGAAGGCAGAGTCTTTGTTTTGTTCACCAGTGAATCCCCAGCTGCTAGAACAGTGCCAGGTGGTATAAATCTTTGTTGAAGGAATGAATGAGGTCTTTGTGATATGTACGGCTGAAGCAAAAGCTGTATTGGGCAAGTTATTTTGGGATTCTTTTCCTTGGGCCAAAGATAAGGCCTTGGCAACAAACTAAGGTTAGAAGCTCTCATTCATCAGTCATTTATTCAGTCATTCATTCACTCATTCATTAATTTCCCAGAAAGTTAAGTGGCCCCTTACTAGGTTCAAAGCTATACTCAGACACTAGGGATACAATGATTAGGCAAAACAAGCAATGCTCTAGATTTCTTGCAGCTTATAGTCCAAATACTACCAAGTAATCACACAAAGCAGACATAAAGGAACCGTGGACAGGTCTTGTCTACTCCAGTCTCTAAAGGAAAGCCCTGATCCAGCCTAAGTGGTGGGAAGAGTAGCCTGAGGAAGTGAAGAGTGAGCAGGAGTTAAGGGGTAACGAGGAAAAAGATGACGGGAGGGCACACTGTCAACCAAGGGGACAGCATGTGGAAAGGTCCTGTGGCAGGATAGAGAAGCTGGCAGTGTGAGGGAACAGAAAGAGGTAGAGTGGCTGGAGCAGAGAAAGATAAGCAGGTAGGATGAGAGCTGAGTGCAGGAGGGGCTTAGATATCATCCGAGGGGATTTTGCCTTAATCTTAAGAGTGGAGCAGAACTGTTGAGGCATTTTATTTTTTTTATTTTTTATTTTTTTTGGTTTTTCTCCGGTACCAGGAACCGAACTCACGACCTTGAGCTTGCCAGGCAGGCGCTTTTGCCGCTGAGCTAAATCCCCAGCCCTGTTGAGGCATTTTAAACTGGACAGGAGTGAGTAGGTTGGGGGACATGATTATACTTTTGTCTTAAAAAGATCTTTGTGGTAAACCATTCTGAATGAATATCTAGCCTTCAAAAAGCCATATATACACATATTTTAAAGAAAGAAAAGAAGCCTGGAGCTGAAACACCTAGATTCAAATCTCAGTTTTACTACTAACGGTGTGTCCTTAGTGAAATCACTTAATTTCTCTGTTCCTTAGTTTTCTTACTTGCAAAATGGGAAATAATGATTGTACGAACAACAGGATTAAAGCAGCTAATATATGCCAAATTTTAGAATTGTGTCTGATTCAGTGTACAATAAGTCATGTTAGTTATTATTATTATAAAATTTAATGTGACTGTTATGTTTGCCCCACTGAGAAGCTAAAGATTGTAATTCAGAGGAGGTAAGCTATAGTCCCAAAATTTTTAGGCAAAGCAATAGAAACAAAATTCAAACTCTAGCTAAGCCCTACATTATCAGACATCTTAAGATAGATAGGACTGGCTGAGTAGATCACTTCTTGATGAAAAATTGCCAAATATGTCCAAGAAGTTTATGGAGACAGACTAGAGGATGCAATTAAGTTACCTTGGCAATGGTTATTTATTTATTCACTAATTTTTCATACATGTACTAAGCACCAGGCCTAGTGCTAAAGAATGAACAAAATTAAACACAAATCTTGACTTAAAGATACCATAGTTGAATAGAAGAGATATGCCAGTAAATAAGAAAAGAATAGCACTATGGTGTTACAGGTGTTGAGGTCTAATGCCTTTTCAACTAGGTCTTCCTTTATGTCATCTCTCCAGATGAGAAATTGGAAACTGCCCCAAACAGCACACTACTTGTAAAACCGGAATTTCACTGAAAGAGGAGCAGACTGTTATCTCTACCCCAGGTATGGAGCAACGGTATAGATACATTGCCTAGGGGAAAGAATAGAGAGCTTAAGAGCAGAGAGCTCCAAAGCTGTCCCTCAAAGGAGCTGGAGGCTGGGGACGTAGATCAGTGCACAGCAGCTGCCTGGCAAGCGCGAGGTCCTAAATTCAATTCCTGGAACAACAACAGAAAACCTCAAGGGGAACTGGTTTCGCTGAGACCAAAATGCGAAGAAGTTCAAAACTAATGGTGCTCTTGAAAATAATGGGTGTTTTGGGGACAAGCAATTGTGAAGAGATGGGTAGGTCCTTGATATGAAAGAGCTAAAGCTTAGGTCATCTACTAGTTTAACAGAGAGAATCAGGGGAAAAGCTAAGAAGAACCCACTTGGGATCATAACAAGATCCAAAGATTGGCCCGAAAGACAGAAGACTGCAGAGGGGTTGAAACTTCACAGAATCAACTGTGGTAGAATTTATGACTGAACAGCACTGTCAAAAACAGTAGAGCAGGGCCAGGGATACAGCTCAGTGCCACAAGTGCCTGGCTGGCAAGTGCAAGGTCCTGAGTTCAATTCCTAGTACCAAAAAAAAAGAAAAGAATAGACCAATTTGCCATCAGTTAATCGAGGTTAACAGCTAGGTGTGGCCACAACAAAGGCAGACAGCTTGACAGAGAGGTAAAGGAAAAAGAGTCAAAGAGAATCCCAGCTAAAACCACCGGCATCCCAGGATGTTTGCGTTCATGCCAAAGGCTGGGATTTCCGAGGAGCAGTATCAAAGGCCACTTCCTGTGTAGGAAATAGATTTTACTGAAATATCCCAGCAAAGTCACTGACCAGTTAAGCTAGCAGACAAGTCTGGAGATGGGTGAGGAGTAAGTATCCAGAGTTACTATAATATATTACCTAAACTTTCTACTTTAAAAAATTGTGAGACCAGCGAAGAATTGTACAAATGTGTGGAAACGAAACAACATCCTCCTAAAGAAGCAATATGTTAAACAAGAAACCACCAGTGAAATTAGAAAATAGTTTGAGGTTAATAAAAATGAAAGAACAAAACAAACTCATACAGTGCAGCTAAAGCAGCGCTCATAGGAAATTTGTAGCTGTAAATATTTATATTCAAAAAGAAAAAAATCTCCAATTAACCCTGTGTTTCATGTTTAAAAAACAAACAAAAAGAACAAACTAAACAAACAAAAAACCAAAGTGCACACCTATAATCCCAGCACTTGGGAGGCTGAGGCAAGAGGATTGCTGTGAGTTCAAGGCCAGCCTAAACTACCTAGTGAGATCCCATCTCAAAAAAACCCAAAACAAACAAACAAACAAAAAACCAAAACCAAACAAACTCCAAAACAAAACCAAACAAACACCAAAGTGAAAAAATAATAATACTAAAGTAGAAAGGAACGAAATAAAGACAGAAAGACAATACAGAAAATAAACAAAACCAAAATTGGTTCATTGAAAGAGCAAAATAATAGAAAACCTTTTTTTCTTGGTACTAGAAATTGCCAGGCAGGGGCTGAGCCACTGAGCTATATCCCTGGCCCTTTGAAAAGCATTTTTGACCACGAAGACA